TAATCAAAATATTTTACATTTTTAATGATTTTAACATTGAGTTTTATCTTAATATACGATTTATAGTACCGTTAAGTACGAGTACATAATACAGTTATGCGAGTTAAATATATAATAAAAAATAAGCGAAAGTATGGAATTTAAAGTCCGGGCATTATATTTTAATAAAATGTATAAACTACTAATACACAAACACAAATAATACAACAATTATTCACTTATTTTCTTGTGCCTAACTTAATGTTGTACAATCGTCAATCAGATTGCTATACTTGCATAAGTATATTTGCAAGCACTCCTCCCTTGGACTTTGACTCTAACAAAATCCTCCCCGGATAAAAAATAGCCGTGCAGCCTGTACTCAGTATCTATAGATTGTAATTATTTATTTTATATCGTCTGCGTGGTTTATTAACTATCAGTATCGAGTAAAAATTGCTAAGAATTGTGTTTAAATATTGCGTTTCGTGGACACAAACTCACCTAATTAAGGTACCTATCTAATTAATGAAAATATCGATCATATAAATTATTGAAACTGATACTTTTCTTTTGATTTTTAATGTTTTAATTGTAATATTGGTATTTAGGAAATTTTATTGAAATGTGTAAATTATTTTCTAACTACAATTCAGAGTTTAAAATATTATTTAACTGTTCAATAAATTACACTAGTCCGTTAATACAAAACAAACTTATTAGCTTATGTGCGAATAATGTACAAAGTATGATAATATCTGAGGTTAAGGATGCTGGATGTTTTTCTATTATGTGTGATGAAGCAAGATAATTAAAATATTAATACAGACTATTTTTCTATTTATTTATGAATAAAGAATATATAATAATAAGAAAGTAATTTTTCAAAGGTGTCATAAGCAAGAGCAAATGTTTATTTATTTTAGATACACAAAAGACTTTGAAATACTTGAACGTTTTCTGGGCTTTGTAAATGTATCACAGAGCCAATTTGCTGTTTCATTATTAAGTTTGATTTTATCTTACTTGAAAGAATTGAACTTAAATAATATTCCTATCGTTGCTCAATCTTATGATAGGGCCAGCGTGATGTCTGGTTGTAAAGGAGGTTTGCAAACATTACTTATGAAGTATCATTCTAATGCGGTTAACGTTCATTGTATGGCTCATAGGCTAAACTTAGTGGTGGTTGATATGTGTAAAAATGTGAAGGTCTGTATTATGTATCATCGATTTATGTATATATTATAAAATACTTTAATAGGATATTAGATTGTCAGCTCATTAATATTGAAAATATTTTATGGTTATAGTACAGTAAGAACGTATTCAATGCTTTAGAAGCAATTTATATACATTTTTCTATGCCTACTATGAATAAAAAACTTCAAGATATGCAAGTCAAACTAAAAATGAATCTTGTAACATTATAAATTATTAGTGATAAGTGTTGGGTGTGTAGGCATAAAAATTGTAAAGCTGTTATTGAAAATTTCAAATTAATTGTAGATGTTTTACAAGAGGTAGAAGAAAATAATGATCAAGATTTTAGCCGAGCTATTGATAAATATTAGATTTATGGTAATAAATGATGACATACCTATGTTAAAAATTGTATATTATTTATTTTTATAGGAATATTGGCCATGATGTTGAAAGGAGAATTTGTAGTATATTTACATATCATGAATTATGTATTATGTATCATTCAAATTTTGAATTGTAAATTACAAATGAAACATTAGGAAAAGTTGCTAATACTGTTATTGGAGTAATTAAAATATTTGGGAAAAAATTGAAAACTTTTCAATAGAAAACTGTATAGATTTGCAAATTCCTGCTAGACGTATGTTATTGTTTATCACGTATCACTAATTTAACTAAAGTTTAAAAGTTATGAAATTATAAATACGAGTAGTATTACCTATTTAATTTTTTCAATGTCCAAGAAAAAGAGAAGAGAGGCAACACAACTAAATGATTTTGTGGTGAGCACCACAACAAGTGCTATTTATAAGATTTTTAACAAGATAGTGAAATTACTTCAATGGATTTTTGGAAAGTTCATGCATTTTCCCCTATACTTGATAATTTAATAGTCAATATGAAATCTAGATTTTTAACACAAAGCTTAGAATTAGCCCAGTCAGTTGAAAGCTTTTTTGAACTTAATTATGAAAAAAGTTCTTATTTTATTAATAATTATAAGGTAATTAAATAGCAGCCAACTAATATTAAAATAATTTGACTCATAATCGTGGAATATTTTTTATATTTTTACATTCAAATAATACATTGACCTAAACACAGTTCCAGTCATTATTTAATATAGATGAAGATGCATTAAAGTGTGAACTCAAAGAAGCAAAAATATGTTTGATAAATGATCAAAATTCAGATAATTCCATAAGTGGTGTGAATATTGAAGCAAAAACACAATCTCAACTTTTAAAATCAGTTGTACAATAAGAAGTTTATCCAAATGTTTATTTATTATTAAAGACTGCATTCACTATACCCATAATTTCAAGTACGTGCGAGCAATCTTTTTCATGTATGAGGAAAATTAAGTCATACATTAGGTCAACTATGACCCAAAACAGATTTAGTGATCTGGCTATACTTAATATAGAAAGATAACTATCTAATGAGATAAACGATGATGATATTTTAATACTATTTTCATCAAAATATAGGCGTATACAGTTATGAATTATTATAATGTAAATTTGTTTTTATTGACTAGGTTATACTTTGATTCTATGATTTATTTTTAATTTTAATTTTAGACGGCTTGTGATTACTAAATGCTAGGGATGGTTACAGGGGGGCTTGGGAGGCTTTGCCCCCCACGAGTAATTTTGAATTTTGGTTTTTTAGGACTCTAGTCCCTGTAGCAATTAAATCCTAGTTATGCCCATGGCCACATTATCAAACTTTGACAATCTTCAAGCAGACCACCAAATATAAAAGCATAAATATTCTAAATCTTTATAATATAATATAATTTGGTAACCACATAGTAGATATACAATATAGATATAGGTCATATTTAACTTGTTTTCTTGTTTTTTTATTGATAATTGAAGAGATTATAAATTGAAGTACATATCGTAGGTACACATTTAAAATATTATTTTAAAATTTTATAACAGGCCACATAAAATATCTCTGTGAGCCGAGGATTGAGTATCACTAAGGATTTAATTTATGAGTTTTTAAAGAAATATCTCTAAAATTTCTCATTACATCTGTTAATATTGAAACATCAATTTTATTATATAAATTTGTAAAATCACAAAGATTTTTGTAAATTAAATAATTCCTAATTTGTTTGTACACTTTCATATTCATATATTGTTAAGATGTTATCAGTAAGAAAGCTAAAAAAATTTTTTAAAAGGGATAAACATGTTTCATTACATGTTCAAAACAATCCATGTACTCATAAGGATAAAATAATTTTTTAATAAGAGTTCTTCAAATTGATCTTTTTTTCGAGATTATTTGATAATTTGTCTAAATAACTAGAAAAATTTAAGAGAGCCAATTAATCTTAATCCTGTTTTTATTATAAACATATTGTTTTCACTAGGTATGAAACCAGTGGCATACACAGAAATTTTCTATGGGGGAGAGATGAGTATATTTTTTACAAAGTTTACTTCTAACTTCGAACCATTGTAGTTTACCAATTAACACTTATACATTAATATAAAATATAAAATGTTATTTATTCATTAAAACTTTATTTTAAAATTGTAATTATTTAAATTTTTAGTAAAATATCTATTTTTCTATTCATCCTAGACATAATATCAAGGACTTCATCTGCCTATACAGGAATTTCCCGGTGGACCGATAACATGGTTAATCCATTTAGTCGAGTCTAAAAAATAATTGATTATATTGTATGAAATAATAAAAAAAATTATTATCATTTACACCTTACTTCAGACATAGTGTTCCTTAGGAATGTTTTCAGCTTTTTCAAACATGAAAATGTCCCTTCTGGTGTTGCAGTTGACACAAGCAAAGTACATAGGATTTTTAATAATATATTTGGGAAAATTGAGGGTTTACATAATTGCAGTGCTTCTAATCCTGATTTAGGATTTTTTTCTGTTATTTTAAGTTTTTTTTTCCACATTTTTAATTTTACTAATACAGTTTGGAAGTCTGTTTCAATATAAAAATTTACAAGTTTTTTAAATGGTTCAATTTCAATTTCACTGGAAAATAAACATTGAAAACCTAAAGAAAAAGAAATGTAGATATAACATATTAAAATAACATATTGTAGTACCTATATATCATATTAATTTGTAATTATTAATATTGTTATAATATACCTTCAAAAATATTTTTATGATCCAAAAATCGTTCTCTCAAATTTATAATGAAAGCATCAATATACGGAATTGCTACAGTAATTCTGTAATAACTTTCTGGTTGAATATTACCTACTAAACATGGATTTGGACGATTCTTTTGTTTTTTTGTTAACCTTTTAATAGATATATTAAAGCCCAAAATTGTAGTCATTTTCTAAATCAGTTTAAAATAAAACAATTATTATTTAGATTATCAAATAAATTTGATACAAATCAACTATCTAGGATTATGTTTTTAATATTTACCTCGGCTTCTTTGAATAGTAGATTAAATTATTTTTCAATGTTATTTCTTAAATGTTCAAGCATAGATATATTACATTCCGCTAACTGTGTAGCTTCTTTAAGATCAACATTAATAGTTTGTAAACTTTTACATAAAGGCAAACCGTAAGAAAATATCACCTATTAATAATAATAAAAAATATATGTTAAAATTTTATGTTTTATAATTATAATTAAAAATATTTTTTTGAATTACTTTTACAACTTGAAGTGTAATTAAGAACTCAGAATCCATGGCTTTAATCAATATATCTGCATCATTTACCAAAGATTTGTCATAAGAGTTTAATTTTATTTCTTCTAAAGCTTCAACAATGCAGGGAAAAAGCTCAACAAAATCATTAATGGCATTATACCTTTCAATTCACCTCGTAGCACACAAGCGTTTCAGTGATTTTGCTGAAGGATGTAGTTCACTGTTAGAAATAACTTCCAAAAGAACACTGCTACGTTTTGGTAAATTAAAAAAAGCAATGCATTTTTTCAACCAAACCTAAGCAGTTTCTCACACTTCGAATATCTCAAGAAAATGACACTGCCAGATTTAGAGAATGAGCCGCACAATGAACATATATTGCCTTCGGATATATATTTCGTATAATAGTTTGCACTCCTTTATGCTTTCCAGATATATTCGCAGTGTCATCGTAACCTTGGCCATATAATTTAGAACAGTCTAATCCACAAGAACTCAAACCTATAGAATTATGCATATATAATTAGGGCTATGAATAAATACCAATATTCAAATACTTTACAACTCTGTATATAATATAAATATTGTATATGTATAACAAAATAATAATAAGCCTTACCTTCAAGTATAGCAGTAGCCAAATTTTTTCCAGTCAAACTATGAATTTCTACAAATTTTAGGAATATTTCTCATAATTTGGCATTTTGTTCAGTGCCATTTATATAACGAACACATAATGCAAGCTGTTCTTTATTTGAAACATCAGAGGTTTCATCAGCAAGCACTGAAAAGCATTCTGATTCATTAACCATTTTTATTAATTTATGAAGAATTATATCACCACATATGGTAATAATTTCATTCTGTATTCTAGGACTTATGTATTTATTCCTAGAGTCAGATTCAAAATGTTCTTTTAAATAATCCAAGTCTTTGGCTTTATATTTCAGAATAGCACGAAAGTTCCCTTCATTTGAATCATTAGAATTCGATGCATCTAAATTAAATATTAAAGATTTATACAAAATTAACATTAAAATGTATACAATTATAACTAACCATTGAAATTAATTGAACCAGTGTTTCTATGACCACAAAGAGCTAGTTCTTGCCTTCCGCAAAGAATTATACATTCAATAATTGGGGTTAACTTCAACCTATTTAGCTTTATTTGTTCTGTTCTAAAATTTAAAATAAATGGGTAACGGATATATATTTTAAAACAATTTTTCAATCAATATTGTCTATTACAGGCATGCCCAACCTTTTTCAACTGGCGGGCCACATTCAAAATGTATATTTGTACTGCAGGCCGTATATGCTTTATGGGTTTTATTTTTGTTCATTTCGATAAAATATAGACTAGTCATAGGTATATCTATTGTACATTTTATCGGATATAATATTATCTTTGTTCACTTATCGAATTTATGACTCAAATCGTATGTGTTTAAAGTTCTCAATATTTCCACCCTATAGTTGTTAGTTTGTTTTCGTCATTAAAAATTATTTTATATTCTTAAAAACTTAATAAAATACATTTTTTGTAAATAATATTTTTTTTTTTACACCTATAAAAATTTCTAATTTTTATAAAATGATCAGGGGCCGGTTGGAACACCTTCGCGGACCACAGGTTGGGCATACCTGGTCTACTGGTCTATTACCATATTTACCTATCATTATCCAGTGTATCAATAATTGATGGTACATTTTTTACAAAAATATTTAAAAACATTTCTGCTTTTAAAAGAGAAGTCTTATGGTATTGTAAACTATTGTGATAAGACAAATCCTGAAAATGTTTTATTTAATTATAAATAGGTTCAAAAAATTATTATTTTAGTGGTACCTAGTACCTACTACTATCAATAATAATTGTATAAACTATAGTTAAACATGAATGAATAATGAATATAATTATTTCTTTAGCTTTCTTCCAATTTTGTAAAGGTTTCATTATAAGATAGCCCAGTGGCTATGATCCAACACCACCACTAGTAGAAAAAGCAACACAATATCTACAAAAGGCCCCTTCAAGATTTTCTGAATAGCATAACCAAGGAAAAATTTTTAACCACTTATGCTGAAATCGAAGTCCTCTTTTTTTTATTAATATCTAATAATGGGAATGGATAATTATCGGGTGGTGTCCACAAGTTAGTTAATACCTAAAAAATAATGAATGTTATAGAATGTATGGATATTGGATAAATAGGTAATAATATACTTTTTATTAGATATGTATTAATAAAGCACTAACTTACTATATTTTTCTCATTATCCAACAAACTACGATTTAAAAATAAGAAAACGTCATTAGCAATATTAGCATGCATTTCAGTTGCTGGTATACTAAGACAATTCACCTTTAAATATGAAAAAAGTCACAGAATTTATTCTGTTATACCGTTATTACCAAAATGAACACAAGAAAATATAATTGATAAAAAATATTTTCATTACAAAAACACTATAAAAATTCTTAAAACAAAAAAAAAAGGCCAATCTCCTAAAGATCTCCTAGGATCTATCTCCTATATACTTTCCTGTGTACGCCACTGTATGAAACAATTAATTTTTTTTTTTTAAATATACATTTTTCCACATTATTTGGAATTTATTTTGTTTTATTTTTATCATTTCTAAGTTCTTATACAAATTATATTTGATTTGTGGTTGATTATTATAGAAATTTATGTTGTTTTTTTTTTTGGTAATTTGTTTATAAAACTTAGGTAAAACTAATTTATATTTGCCATCTAATATAATACATACATATTTATTTTTTTCAATTTTGGTCCAAATAATATTATATTTTTTTTCTTCTTCTAAATCTAATAATTTTACAAGTTTATATTATCCATTAATATTATTTATGTTAGAAAAAATAAAATTTTTTATTCAAACAGTTTTATGATAAATACTAAAACAAATTAAAGAACACAATAGCAAACTCATCAAGAATATCAACATTAATGTATCAATAAATATATTGACATTTAACATTAAACATCAATGTTTATGTGTATGTTTGTTTGCGATTACATGTTAAACAACTGATTATTTTTTTAAATGTAAACACATTATTTTATTATTTATAACATGACAATATTAATTAATAAGTACATTTACAGGATGTTATTTAAATTACAATATAATCATACTATTTAAATAGAAATAAAAATCAACCATAATGTCTTCAAATGTTGTTGCTCGATTGGTTAGGTGTTAGTTTTGAGAGTTTTCATGACAGGACTAAATTTATTGGGAGAGCGTAGTACTGTGTTTTCTTAGTGATTTGGTTCTATTGTTAAATACAATTATAGTAAGATTCAATTCATAAGAAAGTATGTAGTACTAGTAATAATAGTGCTCTAGATTGATTTACATTTAGTGTAGTTGTCACATAGAGAAAACTGCGTTATCATCGTGATTTTTTTTACCTTAGACCTTTAATTGTTTTTCAAAGGCTGATGTACACACACTTTCTCTATCAATAATTACAAATCTAAAAATAAATAAATTCCTCTGATTAAGTTGTGAAACTTGGATAACTTTTATTATAATTTTAGCCATAGTGTTAGTAAAAAAAGTACGAGAAAAAAGCTGGCTAGCTTAGGCGTCTGAATAACTGGGATTAATTTTAGATTTTTTTCCTGGTATTTTATTATTATTATTTAAAGTTCTATACTTTATTGAAAAGTTGTTAAAAATGAATAAGAGCAACACAGATGTATGTTTATTATGGCTACCTTAAACTACAAATTAAAAGTTAACTTGCCATTTCATATTTTTTATTTTAGTATATATCAGGTGCTAATTATGTTGGAAAGTTAATTTTTTACCAAACATTTTTAATTTGAATTATTTAATTATACTATATTGAAAAGCATAAGTATAGACTGGATGTAAACTAATATAAGTAAATTATGTCAATTATTTAAATCAATATACCACATAATTTTATCAGTTGGAGGTTGAAAATTAGTTAAAAATTGATGAAAATATATTACAATATCAAATTTTATTAAAGAGAATATTTCATATGCTTTATTACAAACAAATGAACCTGGAGAAATTGAAAATGAAGAGATTGATCTCAAGCCACAAACAAATATTGAAAAACTTCTAACTTCTTTAGAAATGAGAGACCATATGAGTATTACAAAGGGAAGTGCAACAACACTCGTCAAATTTTGAATTGTATTACAAATACGAAAGTTTTATTAATGATCTTTTAATGGTGAAAAAAAAATATGGTTCAAATTAGTAATAATTAATAAAAATACCATTTTTAATAATCGTTTTCCGAAGTTTTTTAACAGTTGATATTGTTTAAAGTGATCTGTAACCATTTTATGTATCTTGATTTCTTCAAAATTTACACGTTTAAATGCTTTCACACGGTTGAGTTTTTTCATAATGGATGTTGATGGCAAGTCACTAGCAAAAATTGATTGTGGTTTTTTTATAGGTATACCACGAGCTTTATCTTCTTTACCCCTCATACACACTGCTCAAACAGTCGAGTCAAATCAAAGAGTATTCAGGAAAGATATATTTACCAGATTCTTTATGAATAAAGAGCGATAATGTTCAAATCCCATCATGTTTATCAAAACATCTCCATCACAAAAGTGGACCTTTGGTTCCATTATATGATTGTTAATGTATTTAAATAGCTGTTGAAAATTGGTAATATCAGATATTCATCTTTAAGAATCTGATGAATCTCACCAATGCTTCAATTCATCTGGCTAATCTTCCTACCTATACATCAGGAATAGAAATTAATTTTAATATTAACGAAATTTAATAATTTAAAAAAATATATGTATAATACACAGTAGATACATATATATTTAATAACATTTAATAGAATTTAAGCCCATTAAATACTGTAAATAACTAAAAACATAAATTATTTTAAAAATTTACCAGATTAAGAATTTCCATTTTTTGGTTTAAATTGTTTGAGGTACTGAGTTAACACTGCACTGCTTATTATAATTATCCAAATTTTTTTTGTTGATACATCAGTGTACTTTGTTGTACCCTTGAATTAGAATCTAGGTAATCTAAAAAAGTTATATCACATAAACATACTATGTTATACAATGTACAGCTAACAACACATAACTTATGTCATACAACCACTAAAAAAATATAGTGTTTACTCGGTGCAAGCAAGTAAATATTTCAAGATTTTATTAATTCTAACCTAGTTAAAAAATAACAGAAATTTGTTACAATCAATTTCAAGAGCCAGTGAATTTTCTTTGTTATAACCAGTTAAAACAAGTGCTCATTCTAAATAGTAAGCAAGAAATACAAAAAAAAACAGGCAATTTTATTTATTATTTTGACACTTCACTGAAACTAAACATGATTGTTATTAACTTGAAAATACCAGAACTTGTAAAAATTATGTTTATACATAACATAAAATGTAAGTAATATATAAAAATAAAATTGTCAAGAAAATAAAACAGGCAGATTAATCAAAATATGTACTTCAATTTGATGTATTTTAGTTACTGTAGCCGATATGTCAATATAACCATACTGTTGTAAATTGTAATTTAACAATCGTGTGGACACATGCTGAGACATAACCTAACAAGAATTTAGTAGGTATATCGACATAAATAAAACATCCAAATAAAAAAATGCACAATGTTTTCCAGTTTATGAAAAATGTATGAATCATTTATATGTTTTTAAGTTTTTTACTATTATTTTGGAATTTAGATATCTTGGTTTAGGTTAGACATCTTAATTTTTAATTAAAACAAGAATATAATATATCATTGCTTATTATGAAATATTACTATATTAACTGTAAAGTAACAATGCGTAGCGTAATATAATAAGTAGTGATATTTAACATTACCCAAAATCGGTTAGTCAGAAAATCAAAATATCTCTAACTAGTCCAAAAAAATATATACCTATTAGTAATGTAATGTATATTCGAATAGTTCTATCATAAATAATTTGAATATTCGAATATTCGAATATTTGAACATTCAAATATCAGTATTCAATGCTACAATACCTATTTATAATTAATAAGTAATCCATATCTACACAACTAAAGTTAAAGATAATGTATGTCAATGATTAATCGGCCTAAATACAAAAATAGTTCTTATCTTGCAGGTATCCGTTTGTAGTTAGCTTTATTTTACTCGTTGTCGCTGATATCTCGTTTTTCGTACCTGTATTATACATTGAGTTTTTCTAATTGGTAAATGGTCTTTTGTTTTATAATATCTTCACTTAAAATTATAACTTTTCTTTTCGAAATTTGTACTTTCAAAGTGAATAAAATATGGCTAATTTATTTGAAACAATTCAAAGTGTTATTACTGAATGGAAACTTGATAATAAAGTTCAGTGTATTAGCCATGATAATATAACTCTTGCGGTAAAAATGATATCTTTAGATGGAATAATTAGTAATCCATGTGCTGCTCATACTCTACAATTCTGTATTAAAAAAGCACTAGATATAAAAATATTTTCTACCCTCATAAAATGAGCATCGAGTATTTAAGTGCTTTTAAACATTCTTATAAAAGATCATATGCTTTGGAAAATATGTTAGAACAACTAGGCAAATCAAAATTAAGCCTTATACAAAGTTGCTCAACCAGATGGAATTCGACCATGTTTATGCTTGAATGATTATTAGCAATATGACAAGGAATAGTCACTGTAATGGCTGATGGCTGATCGTACACATTTTACTCGACAACAAGCCAAGAGTTCATTGAAGAAGCCAATATATTTGGCAACTACTGTTCTACTGTTCTGTGTGCCGATAAGAAAGTGATAATTTCATTAATTCGTTTAATTTTTAAACATCTCAAAATTAATGAAAATGAAAATAGTTTAATGACAAATTTTAAGACTACTGTTTTATAAGAGCTCTCAGTTCCTTCAAAATTGTAGAAAATTCTCTGGAAGAAATTAATATTACTCAAATATCTTGTTTGTTAGACCCCAGGTACAAAAATTTAAATTTTGAGTATTCCGACTATATAAAAAAAACATAAAAGAAAAAGTGCAATCAAAAATATTAAATTTATATACACAATCGGATATCCCAAATAATGTTACACCAATACAACCTACAGCATTAGACACTTTACTAGGAAATGATTCTGAAGAAAATATTGATGAATTTACAACATACTTATTGGAACCACAAATAAATCATAATTTGGACCCAAATAATTGGTGGTTACAATACGAAAAACAATATCCAAGAGTAATTTTATTGGCTAAGCAAATTTTGTCAGTACCAGCATCATCAGCATCTTCTGAGAGTTTTTTCAACAGCTGGAAATATAATTACTTCTAAATGCAGCAGATTAGATCCGATGAACGCATCAGCACTTATCTTCTTACATCAAAACAAAAAATTAAAAATGTAAAATGTATTTAATCAATGAAGTTAAACGTACGAGTATTAATTTATTAATTAATAATGAACAATTTTTCTTCTTAAACTTATATTTATTTATTTATTGTTGTTACTAAATTATAAGTTATATGTTAAATTAATACATTATTATTGTTATTAATAATTTAATTATGATGTATTTTGCACAATTATGTTTATTTTTTATGTACTATAAGCTATATAATATTATTATTAAACGTTTTGTGTAGCGCGAAAACTTAAACAAATAATTTTCTTTACGTATTGTATTGTAGCATCGAATACTGATATTCGAATGTTCGAATTATTTATGTTAGAACTATTCGAATAATTCCCATCACTAATACCTACGTTAAAAAAAGTGTTAACGAAAACACTGTAATTCATCTGTTGTTTCTTCTTGGATTTCCTGTCGGCTGTGATCCATGACGATTAGTTTATGCTTGTTTTTGTCAGAATTCAACAATTTTGAATTTGATACCTGGAGTAAGGTTGTGATCCGTAGTAAGTTTCGACGAACGAGTTTAAAACTTAGAATTTCAATTACCCAAACGAGAAAGAGCTCTGTGCACATACAACAAAAACCAAAACAAAAAGAAACAATAACAGATACTTACACGCGTGACATGTTACACACCCACACATACACACACACACACGCACGCACTCACACACGCACGCGCTCATACACACACGCAGATTAAATTGTAGTCATGAACTAAGATATACAGGACTGGACACAGAGCCTTATCAGCCGGTCAGACAATGTTACGCATTACTCCATTAAGTGGAACCTACGCTATCTAGTGACGAATTAGTTTGTTAATGTTATTACTTAGTAATACTAAGTAACGAGTAACGACGCACATCATTAAAATATAGTGCATAGTATAAAGAATAATATTGTTCCTTAATATACTATATTGTATACTATGATATAGTGTTTTAGATGTTTTAACTTTTAAATTTTAACCATTTGTTAATTGGTTATAAAATATATAAACTGCAAATAAAAAAAAGTGCGAAAATTATTTAAAATATTTATCATACTGTATTTATATATTTAAACTAAAAATATTACTTAGTAATAAAATTACTATTAAGTATAGATATTTTTTTTTATATTATATATACATATATATATATATATATATATATATCCATGTAATTAAATCATTACACTAACCATTTATTTCAAAAATTGAAGGAATAGCATTTTTTTTTTAGCCTAGGCTTAGTAGCAGACAGTGGAATCACTATATCAGATGAAGAAAATGAAACATTATTATCTGTAGAACTTGAACTAAAAGAAAAAAAAATTAATTTAACATTATTTTATTACCAAACAAATTAGAATAAACAATGGTAGGCATTAACAATTATTATAATTATTCAAATAATGTAATACCAGACAGTAACACAGTTACCTCTGTTTAAAACTAGCCTACCTACCTATTACAACTACCAAAATAATTCCTTATAATATCGTCATTAGTAAAGTGGAGTTCACACAAAGATTTGACAGTAATTTGTTTGTAGTTAACTTTTGATACAATTTTGGACCATATTTCAAAAGTATCTTTATTTTTCGGCGCTTGAAATATCGAGTATTTTTTAATGTGCTTTCGACTTTTACACAGTAGCACAGAACAGTAAGTTGTTAACCATTTTTAAATTTTTTACGAAGGTAATAACGATATACAAAATTTAAAACAGTATGCTTAAAGCATGTACAGTATAGAATGCTATTATAATGTGTTAAAATAAACATATTTATTATTTTTGAAATATGTATTTAAAGCATGCAAATTGTGTTTTAAGTAAATTGCAAAGTTATTCTCATAGATTGCGCCACTTGATATAATATCCATTTAAAGGAGCGGCGTAACATTTACTGACCGTACCCCTCATACCCGCACACCCAACAGTGTCCAGTCCTGTATATCTTAGTTCATGATTTCTGTGAAGATAGTTCCTAACGCTCGAGTAAGTTTGGTTACTTTGGTACTTATCAACTCTGATAAGGAAGGTAACCGCAATGCTGTATATTTTATTGCCTATACATTTATTAAAAGGGGTTTTAATAAATGTATTTATTTTTAAAATAATCTAAATCAGAATTCAATACAAATAAAAAATAGTAATTGGTAATTATTATTGAGATTATACTATAACGTAACATGATTAATATAAACAATATTAAAATAT